GGGCACTCGGATTCGTAATTTGCCCATTCATTGCTCTACGGGTAGGAAATGCGAAAAATAAACAAACGCTTCTCATCATGGCGATTCGGCACTCAAACTGACATACATACGTACATGGAACTTTAATTAGCGTTTCCAGTAAATTCGGATGGGGCACGAGCTAAACAAAGTTCGAGACTGATTATGTTCGACGGGTCGTCTTTAGAGGCCTTAGAGATACAATATCTCTCCATTGACGTAGGAATCATTCTGTTTATATTACGTTTACGCTCGAATTTGTTATCTGGCCTCGCTCTCTCTTTTTGTTATCACGAGCAGGTGGGGAAACGAGAGGTTGATTATCTAGGCCCCAAAACGATAATAACGAAAATAATAATATTAACATTTAATGTGAAAAGAGACGATTTCTTGGAAATTCGCACACAGCGAACGGGCTTCTCCATGATAAATCCATCGCACCAACACATACGGGTGGAAAAATTCTTGGAAAATATGCACACGGTACTCACATGATGGTGAAGTCATGGAGTTCTTCTGTCTGTGTGCGGTTTTCTGATTAAACGAAAGCACTAACAAAATTCAACTTAATTCGCTCCAGGTCCGGGTTAGGCCCAAATGATTTCTTTTTTCGTTTTTTGTTCTGGCCAAAATAAAAAGATGGTTTCCCTAGATACTTTTGTGCCGCCGGGTTCGGGTTCCTTGAGTCTGGGTTGAGCTGAAGTTATGACCATGAGCTCACAGAACTTTTGTTAAGGAAAGTAACGGAACACGAACTATACACATTCATATATACATATATTACACGTGTGTATCTTAGGAGTGTGCGAGATTTGTTTTGGTAGCTTGGTGATATCATAATCGTATTATCTTGAATGAAGGCTCACATATACGCTGAAATCGTGAATAACTTAGATAAAGGTTTTTGAACCTATCATAAAGATTAGTTTGCCTCGAAAAGGTTGTTATATGAATGGTTTAAAGTAAATAATGTTGTTTATTCAAAAGTCAGGGAGATTTCTAAGCAATAGAAATGGTAATAATGTAGATCTTAAATCTTTAAGATTAAAGTCTGGTTATTCCAAAAAATTCGGAAGAAAAGTATTGGAATAAAGACTTTAAGATAAGGTTAATTTTAATCCTCAAGGTACACAGTTTAGTATTTCATTATTTGCAAAGTGCACTTATTCACTTTTTATTTATCACTAAAAATCATTGTTGGGGTAGGTTTATCACCAAAAACGTGACTGTGTTTCTCGTACTATTTCCAAACCATCAATTTTAATTAAAGTTTTAATGTTCTACCTGCTTTTAGCTTCGAGCTGAATTCTTAACTGCACAATCGAGCAGGTAACATGTCATTTTATTCACCAATAAGGCAGCTAACAATGGGTCGTAAACGTGATTGATTAAATAGTTTTAAATTTAGCGATTACGAATCGGCTATCTAAAGAACTGAATCGACCTTTGCGAATGCGTTGCCAGTCGGACAATCTCTGGGAGATTACACAAGGCTCTGTACAAATTCATTGATAAATTACTACGAACCGCAAAATCAACACACCTTTGTATACAACCCCACAACAACACCCACTCACATGCACACTCGCTTATCAACAGAAACGTTTGCAAAGTTGAAACGAAACAAAATTCTTAGAACAATCAAAAGCATTTCGTTGGCTTTTCCAGGGAAAAGCAAATATGTAGGTAACCATGGGGCTTTTGGGTGATGGGGTAACGTGGGTGCTGGTGGGTGGTGGGTGCTGGTGGGTGAGGGGGTGGCAGGCTGACATGCGCTGAGATAACGATAAAGACGGGGACAAAAACAACTGTGGGGTAAGGTCAAGTCGATATACATACATACGTACGTACAATATCGTTATTATTGGCCATAACAAACAAACATGCTGCTAGTGTTACCGCTCAGGGACTTCAGATTTCATATTTCGAAACGCGGGCACAAACAGAGAATTTACATAAGCCCCACTTGAACTGGTTTTTTGAGTTTAAGTTGCTTTGCTTATAAACAATATTTGGTTCAGCTTTATGTGGTATACAAACTTCCAAATGGGTTGACTATGGAAATTCAAAAACAATAGATCATATCAAAAAATTCCATTTTGATGGTATGTTCGTGTAACTTTAGTTTTAGTTACTAAAACCATATGATTTTATAATTCTTTATAGATTATAAAACACCTTGTATAGCTTTAGAAATGTAAGTATTTTTTAATCAGGTTAAATGGAATTTTTTATGAGCTTTGTGGCGGAAATACTTCATAGTTTTTCTGTATAGCCATGCCAAATTGCAATGCAATTTCAGGAGATTCTATATAATTGGTTTTCAATAGAAACACAGTTAAGTCAGCTATAGAAAAATGCTCTCAACAGAGGAATTGTGCTTAGTGTAACTAAGGTTATATATGGATTAAATTCTGGGGAATCCGAAGTGCCTTAAGTACATGTACAAACTTATGGCAGCACTTTTGTGGCTTTATACAGTAACGTAAATAACAACATGTGTGCTTGTGTTTTTCCGGTAATTGCAGTTCTCTATAAAACATCTCTATATTGGTACCCCCCTCTGGTTTTCCTCTGTGAACCCACTCGAGATACACTCACACACTGACAATTGAGTGTTTTGCCCACATTTCACTTTTGGCATTGCGTTTCAATTGAACAAATTCACGCGAACAATTAACAATAAACGAACAAAATCAAATTTCCAACGAAAAATCTCATCTAAAAAAATAAAGAAAAACAAACAACAATGGGATGAAAGAGGGAGAGAGAGGGGGTGGGGGTGAAAGCAGGAGGGCAATAATCTACCTATGATATAGTGATAGAGAGGGATATATAAAGTAGAGAGAGAGAGGGATAGGCGGGATAGTTGCTGGGCAGACAATTTGGCATTTTTTCGCAAGATCGCTCTCTCGGTCCCACTTAGCTGGCAGCCATCTCGCTCCAACACTCACACTGCACTTATCCCCTGGTTCGAGAAACCGTTTCACATGAAAAGCTATTAAAAAAATTGAAAACGCTCTCAAGTTTAATACGAAAATTCAAGGAAATGAGCGGAAGAGGATGGTAAAAGCGGCTTCTACCAAGAATAATCAAAAAGTGCACACACACACACTCACACAGCGAGAGGAACGAACGCAGACAACAACAATTTGACGCATTACAAACGAAGTTAATAACACCTTTTCTTATGAAGGGTACAACAACGGCGCGATGTTCCCATGTTCCCCTACCATTCTTCCTCTCTTTTAGCCACCTCCCTCTCCACAACCATTTGTTGTTGTACGGCTTCGGCCGAATTCAGCGGCTACACCTTTACATTTATACACCTTTAGCAAGAAGCCATGGCCAACAACAGAGGTCCAACAACAACGACTGCGATATGGTATGGGCCATAGCAGCAGCAACCGGGTCTCGATATTGGTATTGGTGCGGCCAAGAGAACAGTGCAAGTACAGTGAGGTCTCGGTGAAGAAGGAAGAACCATCTTAAAGGTTCACTAATATAAAGATTTAATTTTGATTTCTAGTATAACTTGCATATCTTTTAACACCATCTCCAGCTAAATCGTATTGTAAGTTACAGGAAATCGTTTTATACCATATAATACAGATGTCTTAGGATATTCGTTATAAAAATAAGATAAGATTAATTAAACTTTATTTTTTAAAGTAGGGATCTGGTTATCTTACATACGGTTTACGATACAGTTAGAGTTAAGAACCTACTTTTGAATCAACATGATGACGAGGAAACTATTCTATGTATTGCCAATAATAGTAAATGTTTATAACAATTAAATTTCAAAGATACAAAGATTCTTTGATTTTGTTTTCGCTTAAAACAGCAATGAAGCTAATTTTTGTTCATCTTTTGTAATTTTTTATATTTAAAATATGTGTTAAAATCCATGAAAAGAATAAAATAATCAATATGTTACTTTGATGTTAAAAAAAACTGAATTTGTTTATGAACCACCACGCAACGAATACTTTTGTGACTGACTGTATAAAAAAACCTATTACTAATTGTAGCCTTAAGATAGGCAAAGCTTTTTCAAAAAAATGTTGAAAAAATATATTTCTAAAAATTAGTAATTCTTAGCTAAAAAAATTATTGCTTCCAATTAAGATATATTCTACCAAACTATATGAAATGTAAGAATAAGTTAGAAAAGCTATAGAGTTCTCTAGCGGAAGGGCCCAACATGGGTTAATCGATACAAGTTGTGACAGCTCATGTTATCAGTGATATTTGATATGGTCATGTTTGTCGTGGGAAAACACCCAGTGGAATGCGGTTGTATATTTTTTCTTGAAGTGCGTCTCTTAAGCGAGGCTTCACTGTATCCGCATCTGCTCGTGCGCTCGCATCTGCATCTGTGTTCGTATCTTGGATCTGTCCGTGTGTCTCGGTTTTCGAGCCTGTGTGAGGGCCAGCTTCATTTCAGCTTGGCTTGCGGTGTTAAATGTTTGCAGCAGCATTTTTCATTCAATAGCCCGACCGAACAAAAACAACAACAGCAGCTGCCAACATCATCAAACATACACACACACATACGGGCGCACGAACCACGCTGTGTGTGTGTGTGTGTTTGGTTGGCCTGTGTATCTGTGAGAGTGCGAGTACGAGTATCTTTGTATCTGCTGGTTCGCTTTGGCTGTCTGTCACTTCTCAGAAATCGGTCTAAATTAGAAAATGCGTTTCTGGGAATTTCGTATCGCTCTTTCGGGCCCACAGAGCTCGGGCGAACATATAAATATATATATTGTAAATATATATTATGGCAGTATAGACGAGAATTCCCCTTATTCCCAGTTCGCGGAAAATATGCCTTTCCCCCAATGAATTTATCAATGGCATTTGCAAATATTATATGGCGAACGGCAACTATTTTCTTTTGTAATTTTTGCAAACAGCAAGCGTTTCGTGGAATTCCGGTTGCCACAAAGTGCTAAATATTTCTGAATTTTTTCATTTACCTCTCTTTTGATTTGTTGGCTATTTTCGGTGTGCTGGTTACTTTTGGCTAGTTGGCAACTTGGTTAAACCGTAGTTTAAGCATATTTTAGTTTTGCTTTCACAGGTTTTTTTTTTCTTTACTTTTTGACGTTATCTCTCTTTGAGGTGACACTCACACACACACACAAATTCGCACACACTAATTGCACTTTTCGATCTGCGAAAGCACTGAACCGATTTTCCGCTCGATGGTGTGCAATTCCGTCAATTTGTGCAATTTCTCTCGACGAAACGAAAACGAAACACGCACGAATACGAAGAAGTATCTCTTCCCCGAAAAGTATCTGTATCTTTCGCCCTGCGTCCGCTTCGTTCCGTTTCTTCAGTGTGACTGCCGACGGAATGCAAATCGATACTGCGACCCATTAAAAATGCACTAAATGAGGACTGAAATAAGAAGACCAGCGGGTGGAAAACTTTGCTAAGCGAGCTAATGGTGTCTCCGAAAATGGTGGTGGTACTGGGTAGGGTTTTTCGGTAGGCACATATAACTGTTATAATCGAATTATGGACTCGAACACATTTGTTATTATGGTCGGAAGTGTTATACCGTCCATCTTGACACTGGACAATCGTGGATTTTTAACTAAACCGACTAAACTATCAGCAATACAAAACAAGCAATATGCATGATATAAACTTAATTTTTGTTTTACAACGATCCAAGGATTTATTATTGCAACAGAGATGAATTAATCGATAATATCGACGCTTTAACACATTTTCCCACACTGGTATTACGTGTTGGGAACTTCTTTACTTTATTGTGAATTAATTATAAACAAGGAAGAACGCTATAGTCGAGTACCTCGACTATCAGATACCCGTTACTCAAAGGGAAATGGAGATATGCAAGCAGCAAAGCGAGATTAAAATGCGCCACCTACCGGCGGTAGACAGATTTAAGCGTTATGGGCGTTGGAGTGGGCGTAGCAAATTTATTTTTGGATCAATCGATAGGTATTGACGACACCAATACATTTCAGTTAAAATTTTTTATCTAGCATGCAAATTGTGGGCGTCACAGGTTTTCGCGGTTTGTGGGCGTTTAAGTGGGCGTGGCAAACTTTTTTTTGGGTCAATCGATAGGTATTGATAAGAACAATACATTTCAGTTAAAATTTTTATTCTATCATCAAAACTGTAGGAGTTACAGTTTTGGGCGGTTTGTGGGCGTTAGAGTGGGCGTGGCAGTCTACTGAAACAAACTTGCGCTGCGTAAGAAGCTCAGGAATCTGTACGCCAAATCTCAATAGCCTAGCTCTCATAGTTTCCGAGATCTCAGCGTTCATCCGGACAGACAGACGGACAGACGGACAGACGGACAGACGGACAGACGGACATGGCTAGATCGACTCGGCTAGTGATCCTGATCAAGAATATATATACTTTATGTGGTCGGAAACGCTTCCTTCTGCCTGTTACATACTTTCCGACGAATCTAGTATACCCTTTTACTCTACGAGTAACGGGTATAATTAATTGTATTATATTATAATATAAATTTGAAATTTTATTCCCTAATATTCTATATTAAAATAATAATATTAAAAGAGGGTCAAAATATTAGCGCAATCTCATGACAGATTTTTTCGTATTTTCAAGGGCTTTCAGAATGGGAGCCCAAAACTGTGCTTATAGATTCCATAACGTTTGTGGTCGAATTCTCTAATAATCTTCATTAAAATTTGTCCTTGAAACGATGGTCAAAAATTTAACCCATTTTCATGTTCGATTTTTCCGAAATACCAATGGATTTCAGAATGGGAACCCAAAACTGCACTTCAAGATTTTATAACATCAGTTATTGTATCCCGATTTTGAAGTGGGATACCTCTATGAATTTGTGGTTGAATTCTCTAATTATCTTCATTAAAATTTATCTTTTAAACGAAGGTCAAAAATTTAACCCATTTTCATGTTTGATTTTTCCGAAATACCAATGGATTTCAGAATGGGAGCCCAAAACTGTGCTTATAGATTCCATAACGTGAGTTATTGTATCCCGATTTTGATACCTCTATGAATTTGTGGTTGAATTCTCTAATATTCTACATTTAAATTTATCTGTTTAATGAAAGTCAAAAATTTAACCCATTTTCATGTTTAATTTTTCCGTAATTCTAATGGATTTCACAATGGGAACCCAAAACTGCACTTCAAGATTCCAAAACTTGAGTTATTGAATCCCGATCTTGAAGTGGGATACCTCTATGAATTTGTGGTTGAATTCTCTAATATTCTACATTTAAATTTATCTGTTTAATGAAAGTCAAAAATTTAACCCATTTTCATGTTCGATTTTTCCGCGATTCCAATGGATTTCAGAATGGGAACCCAAAACTTCACTTCAAGATTCCATAACTTGAGTTATTGTATCCCGATTTTGAAGTGGGATGCCTCTATGAATTTGTGGTTGAATTCTCTAATAATCTTCATTAAAATTTATCCTTTAAACGATGGTCAAAAATTTAACCCATTTTCATGTTCGATTTTTCCGTAATTCGAATGGCTTTCAGAATGGGAACCCAAAACTGCACTTCAAGTATCCATAACTTGAGTTATTGTATCCCCATTTTGAAGTGGGATGCCTTTTTGAATTTGTGGTAGAATTCACAAATTATCTTCATTAAAATTTATCTTTTAAACGATGGTCAAAAACTTAACCCATTTTCCAATTGACAGACGTTCACCAACGAACCTCCAACACCATGCCACCTTTGTGGTGCCACCAACAGCGAAAACAACAACTACCTGATCAGCTCCCACCAGCAGCCACCCCCTGGACAGGGAAGGAAATGGCAGAAATTAAAACCATCACATTCCAATTCTTTAAAGTGTTCATTATAGTTTTAAAGGCTATATATGCACCCTTCTTTCCAAATATTTGCACATGATTACAAACGAAACTAGTCCGTTCTCTAGGAAAGTCGGAATATGTTCCCATTTCTTTCTGTCAGAGATCATCTAGAAAAATCTGCCAGTGAACAGGATACTCAAAATATTCAAATTAGTTATCCGTGAGATCTTAAACTTTAACTAGATCTACAACTCTACTCCCAAAAGTTTTCTTGAGCCCAACACAATAAAAATGAGTACAGGACCCCAAAACACCGATTTGATTCCCACAAACTGAAAAAAAAAGGAGGGCAAAATGTCCAAATCCTGTCCTTGGAATAACTTTTGAACAGATCATCCCCCGATTTTTAAGCATTGTAGAAATAGTCGTTACCCGTTTTTACTCGTCGGAAAATATGTTGCAGTTAAAACGAAGCGTTTCCGACGCTATGAAGTGCATATATATTTTCAGGATCCTTACCCGAGTCGACGAACATGACTTGAATGTTCGTCTGTCTGTTGTCCGTATGAACGCTGAGATTTTGGGAAATATGAAAGCTAGAAACTAGGGATCATACAGAAAGCTAATTTTAAAATTTAAGTACAGGTTCTAAAGTAGAAACTTGTTTATTAACAACCTTTAAAAACAATAAGCCACCAACGGTTCAGGGTAACAGTGTTGTGCCTAGAGCTAGTATAGCTCAATTTATATCACAAAGGTTAACTAACCCCAACTCCTTAATAGTCTCCGAAGACGCCAAGGGATTCGGCTCGCAGCAGAGCCCACTTCTGGTGGTCATTTAAAAACTTCTGCGAAAAAATGGCGTCCATCTTGCGCTGCTTGAAAGCCTCGTCCTGCATATTCTCAATGCTGTTGTCCTGGGCCAGTTCCTTGGGCATGGTGATCATGGGCAGAAAGGCGAATAGGCCGAAAAGCCCGTAGGTTTCGCGGCTGCGCAGTTCGCATTGCAGGTCCTCGAAGGTGGGAATGTCCTCGAAGCGGGCGTACTCCAGGGCGTCCTTGAAGGCGGCGTAGTACACCTTAATGAGATCCTCGCGGCGCTCCTTCAGCAACTCCAACTTAATGCTGGTGTTCAGGAAAAAGTTGAGATCGCATGCTGGACTGCCGTAGAAGCTCAGCTGGAAGTCCACAAAGATGGCACGTGTGGGGACCGAAGGCTGCGAGGCATTCTCATAGGCGTACATAAAGTTGTTGGTCCACATGTCACCGTGGTTAAGCACCACGTATCGATCCCCCTTCTTCGGCTTGGCTGCAGCCACACAAACGGACCGAAAGTTATCCAAAAGACGCTGAAGATTCTTGGTTATCTTCTCAAAACCGGGCCAACCAGTGGAGCTTTTGATGAGACCCTTGAGAAAACCGCCAAACATTTCCTCAAAGGTGTCGCTCTTCATCAGAGTTTCTTCGCTGAGCATGCCTCGGGTGTACTGCTTTGCAATGGCCGGATCCTGTGAGATCAACAAAAAAAGAACTCAGGATGGTATATGAGGCTATTCCATTATTGTCATCCCTACCTTCTTGGCCAGCACCATGGATGTGGCATGGAACTTTCCCAGCTGCTGAAGAATCAAGGAGGCGTGGTTCCAGTCAAGACCTGCCTCCCGAGAGGCCACCTTGTATCCCTCTACTTTGAGATCGCTGAAGACTATAGTCTGAACTGGAGTCTTCACAGAGTGATAGTATCTGAGGTAAGATATGATAATTATGATAAGAATTGTATAAGAAGCTTTCACCCACTTACTTAGCTCCAAATGTGTCGCCACGACTCAGGATATCCAAACGGGGCAGGATGTCGGTGTAAGTCTGCTTCTCTTTGATAAACACATTGACGTCCTCCAGAAACTGGGTGGCTTCACTTATCGGAATGGTCTTTACAATCACCGAGAGTTGCTCTGGTGCTGCGGATTCCTTTCCATCGGCCCATTTCGAAAACTTGAGTCCAACCCGGTAGATAGCCGAGCAGTAGTTGTCCCCTGGATTGCTGCCCCACTCAAAGTTAACTTCCTTCAGAGTCACCTTCGACTCCCTCAGACCCTCCTCAAGGGTATCCGTGAAAAACTGTTCGTTCAGATACTCTGGCACCGAGATCTTCTGTTCGTTCTTTATAACCACCATTGTTCTCGTTTTATTATCCGTGCGACCCTATACCGCTTGCGTTTCGGAGAAAACTAATTTGACGGCGGTGTAGAACTTAGCCTTTTATATTTGTTCGAGATAGTGTTTGTCTTTCGGGAAGCATTTCTACGACAATGTCAAGCTTTTAAAATGACCGTGTGGTCGTTGAAAAGTACCGTGGTTCTATTTGATTAGAATTTCGATCAGTATAACACATGCATTTTTATTAGATGTATATTCAAAATATTTTGCGTTGCTAATATTTACCCTTCTTGTGTTTTCAAATTTTAAAGATCTCATTTTTAAAATCTCTAACCAACAAAATGTAACCCAAAACAATTGTTGTTGGGTTTTTTTTTTAGTTTTTTCGACTTTTGGCTAGTGACACAATTTTTTGCACAATACACAAGAAGTCTTTTAACAATTTATTAGGTACTAGTCTACATGTATAAGATATATCTCATAAATCGCAAAAATTACCATCGTTGTATTCGCCAAGAGATCCTTTCTCTTTCTAATGGGTATAAAATTCTAGAGCTATCTGGACTGTTTTGTAAAAATGTTATGTCGTCCTGATTTAGGTATTTCTAATTTATTTTATAATTTAATTTTTTCAATATGTGTTTTGTTTTAAGATAAAAGGTAAACAAATAATAGAAACGGAGAAAATCGATTGTGTTCCACAGTTTCATCGTAGGCGTGAAGCTTTCTCAAGCTGAATATCTCAGTCAAGTGTCACCTCACCGACTTCTGCATTGTCATCCGCATCTAGACTTTTTTATGGAGATTCACCTGCTGTTGGTTTGATGAACCAATAATAAGTTTCGGGCTCTTGCCTGCGTTTTTATTGTGATCTAGCAAACCTGTTAGCCGAAGTCATTCGACCACGTCATAGGGGTTCTCTCAAAAGTTTTAATAATTGATAAGGCGTCTTCATAAAGGTGGTGCTTCGCGTGTGGAACACCGCCTGTCAATGTCAACAGATTTGGTATTTGCTCTACCTATTATTAACTCTCCGATATGTAGGTATACGTATAATTTATTTTATGGGTTTTCGGAAAATCGCCACACAAAAATTACGAGACCATTTAAACCTTTCGCTGGATGGGAAACGAATACAGCCGAGATCAAAAACATGCAAATTTAGCTGACAGAAGAGGTATTTAAATTCCCACCAATTGCGTGACTTCCAATGTGTTTTTTATTCTTATTACACTCCGGAGTGCTTTATTTTTTCGTATCAAACCCGGCAGTTTCGGAGTGGCAACTAGACTAACCAGGTATTGTGTACTACACAGAAGAAACGGGCTAAGATCGGTTAAAAGTCATGTTTAATCACACTGATCACATTTTATAACTAACTACTTAGGGCGACAGCAGAAAACTTGAATGTTTAACGCAATTATCTCGGAACACTGTTTTTCAGAAAATGATTTTATCTTTTTAGTTCCTATAATAATATATACTTATAATAAAGATTATAAATAACAATTATATATTTTCCTTTTTTTTTACTTTTTAGAGGCAAACCAATTTTTTTTGGACTACACTGTCGACTTTTCTACTGCAATCCAAATTTTAATAACTCCATTGTTCATCGACAAGCTAATTGAATATGCTTAGTAAGGGCTTATATACAATTTTAAATACTTTAAGTACTTTATTTACAATAAATTTTAAAAAGAAAATGGAAAAAAAATTTCACAGTGTGAAACATAATCTTATTAATTTGATTGAGTAAAAAAGAGTGATCAAGAGTACGTATTCTTTCTACAAGCAGTGGTATTAAATAATAACACCTTCATAAGAGTATAAAAGTTCTCTTAAGGCTTCTCAAAAAAGCTTAGAAACTACAGAGAGAGATCCGTCACACCAAAACAGTCTGGTAATTCTCTCCAACATGGCAACAGCAAAACAGCTGACGAAAATCACAGATGTAGCCGATCTGAAGAATTTGCAAAAGCTGTATCTGAAAGATTGGCCCAGCAACTGTGTCGCATATTTCTGGCTGGATAACTATATAAGGTGGTTGCATCAAAACCCTAGTTTAAAGCACCTCAACTTTTATACATTGGATAATGACTGGAAAAGGGATGGGCTGTTTATATTGGTGGTATGTACATATATAAGTCTTATCTACAGAAATCGTTAATATATGTATTTCATTGATAATTTCCCTTTCTAGCATCGCTATCAGTTGTTCTTCAGCAACTTAAGTAAACAAAAAACCGAATTGAAATTGGCGCTGAAATTGTTGGATTGGTCGGGAGGTTTTAAAGTCAGTGCTATTCAAGAAGCCCATCATGAAATCTACAAAGAGCTTGTGGCGAAACTCAATCTTAACATGGATCGTGAAATGAACACCATTATGTTTAGTTTAAACTGCCAGGAGGCTAAGAAACTAGGGGAGATACAGTGTCCGGAGGGTTATTATCTAGATAAAGTGCGATTGGAACATGCAGAACTTATAAACGATCTGTGGTCAGCTCGTCATCCCGGTTCCCTAAAACTTATTCAGATGCTAATAACTTATAACACCAATGTGGGATTGTATGAGAAGGAGTCGGGTTCGCTATGTGCCTGGTGCTTGAGGTAGGACATGGTACTTTGATTTAGCTATTCAGATGCAATATTTAATACTATTTTACAGGCTACAAAGCGGATTTCTTGGAGCTTTGGAAGTGATTCAAACCCATCAACGTCGTGGACTCGGGTTGGTAGTTGCCGCTGCTATTTCCAAGGCTATTGCCACCGATCTTCAGCAGGATATTACGGCCCTGGTCAATATGAATAATAATGCTGCCCGTCGCGTGTTCGAGAAACTAAACTTCAAATTGTTAAGGGGCGAGCACTACTATTGGAGCATGATTAAGCCGAGTGGAGGTGGTCAGATATCTTGGCCCAGCAATGAATAGAGCGCTAATAAAGATATGGAAATATGTACAAGGGCTAACATTATAAACTTCATTTTTTGTGCATAAAAGGTATAAATAAAAGCAGTTTTAGCGATGGGGCGTCTGCATCAAGTTGGTATCCGTCAGATGAAAGATTTAAATAGTGTATTACTCAGGATTGGCCAAAATACTGCAATGAGTATTACTGCCTGGATAGTTTTGTAGAGCTCCACAAGAAGGATTGTAAAGTGGAGAATGTATAAGTGATCGTTCTACCCCATTTAGAACACGCTAGATTTTTGATCACAACACTATTTTTTTTTGTATACATATATGTCATTTTGGGTTTCGTGAAGGATCGCTACCAGATGTTTATTCGCTTTTTAGAGACCGAAAGGTTGAAAACTATTCTGAAGGAATCAATGCATAACCTACACTTCCCTAAGGGCGAACAATTTTCCTTCAAAAGATATCTCCAAGGTGTACAGTACTACAACCAACTAACCAATTATCCCTAAACTTTAAAGTGTAGTAAGTTTATATACAACCTACGGTAGTATTTCAAATCTTATTTAATAGTTTTTAGGCACCCAGTTGAATTTTCTTTAAAATCTTTCCGTGTGGAAGATGCTCAAATGTATGACGATCTCCGAGAATGGTGGTAAATAAAAATTGTACTTTTTAAAGGGGAAGAATAAAATACATATATTATTTGCAAGTTGAATAATTCTCTAAAGAGCTATCTCTGATTGAGTGCATTTCGCCCACATATAGTCTCAGCTCAGAAAGCTCTTTATGGCTTAAATAGCTTCTTAATGAGTCTCTCGGATTTACAAATTGTTGTAAAGATAGCAGTAAGACGTTTCTGTTGTTTGTTTGTATAGCGGCTTAAATATATATTCATTTGTTTTGATCAGCTGTTTGGTAATCCGAAGTGCCGGCAACTCAAACCGATCACAAAAAAAAGGGGAATTTGTTGTCAGGTGGTAACCAGTTAAAAGGAACCTAACAATTTCAGGATTATTCTTTATAAAGATATGGAAGCTGTCAGGCAAGTCATAGTCTTTATTAGCTCATATACGAACAAGTTATTTGGTGATTTGATCGCAAGGGTTGTTTCGCATGATTAATTTGTGCAGTCAATTGAAAGTTACAGTTTTATTGATCTGCAAGATTTTCAAGGGCTCTACACATGAAGCGTGTTCACACTTCAAGCTTCAAACCAAATACTACTAGTTTTCTGGTAAAGTCTTCAACGTTTCCTGCAGTTTTTGGGAGTCTCAAGTTAAAATTTGTTATGGTGCATAATCCAGGTGGTGCTCAGGTATCTTAGTCCAACAATTTACAAAGTCAGATAGCAAATATAGACAGAGAAATGTGTGCAAGGGCGGAAATAAATCACATCTATAAAGTGTATTAAGATATCTAAGATAATTTTTTGAGTATAAATTGAATTACTGTCTGGTTGCTAGGGATCAGTTTCTAAAATGGACTCTCTGCAGCAAGTCTCCCAGCAGCTGGCGGAACTGAAAAGTTTTTACACCCGCGAATGGCCAAAATATTGCAAGGAGTATTACTGCCTGGACAGTTTTCAGGAGCTCCATAAGAGGGACGCTAAACTAAAGGATGTGCAAGTCTACGCTCTTCCCAATCTGGAACTTGGCCTATTTGTGATTGTGGTATGAATGTGATATATTTTTCTTCAATTTGTGCCATATTTTTACATTTCGTTAAGGATCGTTATCAAATTTCGGTGGGCTCCTTGGAGGCTGACAGCTACGAAAGGGTTTTGAAAGAATCCCTGCTCAAATTGCAGTTTTTTGGCGGCGAACAATTCGCCTCTATGCCAAAAAGATATTTAAAAGTCGCACTCGATGTTATCCAAGCGAAAAATATAAAAGTAGATCTCAATAGTGTGACATATTCCCTGGTTTTAAGCAAAGATGAGGCCCTATACTTTCATGTGGAGTAAGTTTTAAAAAACAAATTCATATATAAAAAATAATTATTTTAAAACTTTCTTAGACCACCAATTGGCTTTACCTTAAAATCCTTAAAAGTAGACGATGCTCAAGTGATAGATGATCATTGGGAATGGAGTGAACCGGGTTCACTTTCCTATATTCGGCGGCAAATTTGGTGTACCACCAGTGTTGGCCTGTACAAAGACGAAGACAACGAACTGGTGGCCTGGTGTATAAAGTAAATATTTAGGAATATGATCCCGAACACTGTAACTATTAACTATTATTTTTTAAACAGGGCTCAGGATGGCCTATTGGCAGCTCTGCAAGTCAAACCCTCCTACAAGCGCAAAGGTTTTGGGGCTATAATCGTGAAAGAGTTCTCAAGACTGGAGGCTGAGCAAGGACGTGACATTATCACCGAAGTGGGGTCCGAAAATGAGCCATCGTTAAATCTTTTCAAAAAACTGGGCTTTAAATTCAACGATCAGTGTCACTGGCTGTTCACAGAAGCTCCAAATGGAGATTGATTGTATTTGTTTTGATGGATGTAGATTATTATAAGATTATTTATTTTTCCCAGCTGTGAGAAAAATTGCGTTGTCTAGTTTTAAGAGAAACCAAACAAGAGTCTCTACCGATATCAAGAGAATTCTTTGAAGAGAAATACACTATACAAGCTGCTTGGCAAGCTGAGTAATATAATCACTCAAATGCAGTCTATTCTTGCTCGATTAGTTGAAGGGAAAGGTTGTTTTCAAACTAAAATGTGCGCTCAATTGAAAGTTATTGGTTTGTCAGATCTCCAGGAGTTCCAAGGGCTCTACAAACAAAACTGGCCCAAATATTGCCAGGAATATTACTGCCTGGATAATTTTATAGAATTTTTGAGGAAACAACCCCACATGAAGCACTTGCACATGTATACGTTGGATACAAAACAAGCTAGAGATGAGGGTCTTTTTGTCATTGTGGTGAGTTGATATGCTTTGTTTTTTCAACGAGTAAAGAAATTGCTAAGAGAGTTGTGTTTAGGATCGCTATCAACTGTTTGTGGGCAGTTTGAACAACACAAATGGCCTTGTTAGAAGAGCTTTGGATTTATTGGACTGGTCGACGGGTTTGAAGTGTAGTTCTATTCCCTACAGGCATGTTGATGCCCTTGACAATATAGTCGAGTCCAAAAAGTTAAGCCTGGTATTCAGGGATGGCACGGATCTGTTTTATATGAAAGCGGCGGATGCTCTCAAACTAAGGGTCGAGTACGAATTAATCATCCTTTTCATATTGTAAAGAATCTTTTTACAAGCCATATTTTTCTTAGAGCCCCAGTTGGGTTTGTCCTAAAGTCCTTGAGTGTGCCAGACGCCCCTTTGGTTAATGCAGAGTGGGCCAATCGTCATTCGGGATCTCTTTTCTTTATAGAGAGACAGATTCGCATGTGCGTCAGTGCTGGATTGTATCGGGAAGATACTAACGAACTGGTAGCCTGGTGCATCAGGTGAGTCACGTTTAGTGGTATAATCCTATTGTCTTAACCGTAAATCTCTTAGATTGCAAGGCGGCTACTTGGGAGCGCTACAAGTGAGAGATTCGTACAAACGTCGCGGATTTGGCAGTGTGGTGACTAGAGAAATCTCGTACCGCCTTGCCGCCCAAGGCCACGATGTAATGGCCCTTGTTGGTCACTCAAATAAACCGTCCTCCGGCATGTTTAGCAAGCTCGGCTTCCAAATCATCGACCAATGCCTTTGGCTGAGAACGGAACCCACCAAAGGAGATGGAACCTGGCCCGAAGGCGAGTAAAGTTGGTGTTTAAATATCTGTATTAAAATATTATGACTATCGGTTGTATATGAATACAAGTTTGGTATAAAAATATGCCAAGGCCTTTCCGCGTGCTATTACTAAAATTCTAATCGGGCGAGCAGTTGCCGACAGCGTTCATCCAATCGAAGAGGACTACGTTGAACAGTCGGATCCTCTGTCAGTGTCCTTGTGACCTTCCTTAAGCACTCGAGATCGTATTGCACATGATAATCGTTCTTTCTATAGCTATCGAATAGTAAAAACTTGGTGGCTGCGGTTTTCTCGGCCAACCGGCGAGTGGCTATGAACTCCAGGAGCTCTATAAAATCGAGGTAGTTGATACCAAAGCTGGCCCTCAGCATTGTCTGGCAGTGGGCCTCAAAATTATCCATCTGTTGGCAGTCGGAGATCTCTTTGCAAACGGCCTTCAAGTTGCTCCTGAGGTTCTGCCATACCATGGCTATATTGCAGGCGTTGAACCAGTTGTGATTGATGGATATGGTGTCGGTCAGATTCCACACCTGATGGAACCAGCCACTGGGCACGAAAACAGCCTCATTGGCCCGCTGATTGATGGTGTAATATCGGACATTGTGTTCATCTAGCATTTTCTCGTCTATGCTGAAGGGCGGATTCCCCAAGCGATCGTTCAGCTTGAGCTCCTCTCCAGGCGGCATTATCAACCATTTCTTAAGGCCCACAATGTTGGTGGACCAGCTGAAGGAGCCAAACACATCCGCATGATAGGAGGTCCTGAAATGGTAGGAGAGTTAGAATAAAAAATTTTTAGAAGAAAAGGATGAGGGGTGGCTTAAAATTGACAAACTTATCTAGCTTTGTGTTCATTTTGTGAGCTCTACAAATTATAATATTTTGATATAGGTAATATAATAGTTCAAATTAATAGCAATGAAGGAATAGTTTGCCTATACACCAAATCATTTAAATTATAAATATCACACTTATTATAACCCTATATCAAGGAAGAGGACTATCAAAAATAGAACCATTACCATGAGTTCTTGGGTCCCATGTAGACGAATCTGTAGTCGTCCTTCTTCTGGTCAATCAGTTGTTCGTTCAGCCAATCGGAGGCAAAGTATTTAGGCACCTTGTAGAAGTTATATCCCGGCATTTGGGCAGCCAGATGCCAGTCCTTGAGGTAGAGATTGTCCCTGCTCGTGGTATCCACATTGCTATTGACTTCCTGTGACGCCGATGATTGGTTCTCAATGCCGCTTCTCCATTTATCCAGGTAATCGTGAAAGTTGAGCTCCAGTTTGGTGTGACTATTGAAGTACGATGAGTTACAGTCGGCGACTGGAACCGGGCAATTGGGAATCCTGGTTTTGAGGTAGTCAAAGTTGATGGAAGATGCACTCGTATTGGAGTTGAGATCCCGGGATTCCTGGAGAACGGTCCACTTCTGGCACTCCCACTCGTTGGAGACGTCCGTTATGATGACCGGGAAGTTCTTGTGCATGTAGCGCCAGAAGAAGTCGTTGTAACTCAGACCAGTACACCGCTCTATTTCCCCGGGCAGCTGTCTGTCATTTTGCCCGATTTCCTCGGGATCCAGCTGGAGCAAGTGGTCCCCATCCCGCTCCTCTGACGCCATTCGATCTGGCAGTGGGTCCTCGATATCCACAGGTCCTCAATCATGCACTGGCTGTTGTTTTTTGGGTGATATTTGGAAAGGTCCAATTATAGTTGTGTTGTTTGTTATGAAATGGGGTGACCAACCACTTAGCAGTTATCGATAAAAGATACTTTCTACTCAATTTTTAGTTGTTAAAATATACCAAATATATGTCCACGCTAAAAAGTTTGGAGGGTGACACGGCTAAGTTAGCAAGGACAACAACACAAAATTTGGGAAGTACAGTATTTGATATATCATTGGTATATTTCAGTATATTCCCAATATATATTGTTTGGGTGGTGTCCTTGGTAACTTAGCCGTGTCACTGACCCAACATTTTAACAAGATCTTTAACGGCTTAGCTTCTACACACACCTATCGTGTAATTCTAGGCCTTCTCTAATTGCTAATTGGATTTTATATCGACTCTATGGAAGAGGAAGAATTAATGGCGCCTTTATTCAAAAGTTCCAATCAAAATATTGAGCGTTTTTATAAAAAACAGATTCTAATTTGGTACAACTGGACTTAGATTCTCTGAGCTCATGGTGTTAAGCTCAATGAAAAACACCATGTAAGTTCAATGTTTAAAAACCCCGCCATCAATTTTTTTAACAGGAGTTCCGTGACTATCTAATACCTTTTCGTATTTTTCTTATTTTCTTATCACTCATTGTATATGCTCTCATTAGCCTATGCCCCTTAATCTTAATCTTAAAAAATACATAAAAAATGTATATTTTTAGATTAATAGGAGAGACAAGTTATGAGACATTGCCTTTTACGATTCCAAGAAATAAGAATTAAACTTGATGCTTTGACCTCATTGTTTATGTGATCTTCCATTTGCAATCGAATTCCATCGGATTGTTTTATAACCTGATTTTATAAGACTCGTGTTGATTTTGCTGGCAACGGCTATAAAAACAGACTTCATAGACTGAAATCGTTGAGTTATTTTCTATCATCCAGAATGGTTGCATTGAAAGTTCTGGTTGTTGGGATCGTGTTCCTGCTGAGCATTGTCCAGCTTTTGGCCCGCCCCTGCCAGGAGGTAAGTTTTTAATACTAAACTTAAAAAATTATAATGTTTCTGCAAGTAATTTATAATAATAATAATTTGACTTCTCAAAGTTATTTTTCTTCTTACTTTTATTTGAAGTTAAAATATGTATATATGTACCTTTTTCCTTTTCTTTTCAAACAGGTTCAAGAGTTGATAGAGGATTTGATCGGCTTTGCCCATTTTGTGGTTAAATCGGTCAAGATACCACAACGTTACAACTAGTGGACAGAATAATATAACATTTATAGTACCTATAAAATCAATGCGCTGTTTATAAACGATATGGAATTAAGCCAGATGTATAAGGCAATACAAAAAAGAATGGTTATTCTTTCTTCAAAATAATACGTAGCAAATAGCTTACTCGGAATATTTTTTTAGCTACGGAGGGAAAAATACACCCAAAATTATCTTCCTTACAGGCCTTGTGCGTTTAGACTCCTCCTTAAGTAAATAAGTTCTTTTGCACAGGTCAATCAGGTATTTGTTTAATATTAGAACATAAGAAACGTGTATAGATATGTTTAAACTGTTGGTGAAGTAATTAAGAAGCCAGTTATCGTTGTAGAAATAAATAAATAAATAAACAAGAAAGAACCTTATAGTCGAGTGCCTCGGGTAATTACCCGTTTTTCAGCTTACTAACTTCAAAACATATGTGCTGTTTACATTTGGTCTACTTTACATTTTACACATTTCACTATTTAGTTATACAATTTTTCATTACCATTATAAAGTCTAACGGTAAATAATCATTAGCATAATATTTTTCAATTGTAATGAAATAGTTTTTCATTGGAAGATTTTATTAACATTACTTTTTTTAAATTATAATGAAATTACCAATTCATTACAAAAGTAATTAATTAGGAACAACTTTAGTCAATGACGATGTTTTTTCTTGCTGGCGTAAAATTATTATTTATCATTAAAGTCATTATGATAGGTATTCCCAAGAGGAATAAAATAAAATTTACTTAAAACTGTAATATTTAAAAATGTGGGCGCCATAGTTTTGGGAGGTTGGTGGGCGTTAAAGTGGGTAAAGTGGGCACCCTACTGAATCTGAAGGCCAAATCCCAAATTCCTGGCTTTTATGGTTTTCGAAATATCAGTGTTCATACAGACGGTGTTTTGTGGGCGGTAGTGTGGGCGTGACAACATCGGGCATGGCTAGCTCGACTCGGCTAGTGATGCTAATCAAGAATATATGCACTTTATGTGGTCGTAGCGTGCCATCTACCTCTTACATACTTTCTGACGATTCTAGTTTACTTTTTACTCTACGAGCAACGGGTATAAAGACATAGGATCCGTAAATTTAAAGATCTAAATTACAAATGAGGAAGAATTAAAAAAGCTTTACGAAGAAAGGTAACCCTCGAAAAAACAGTCACATATTCGAGCAATAGATCCAAATCTCCTGAAATCACAGTAAAACAAGCCGTTGGTTTTTATTTAATTGTTTTTATATTTACTGCAGTTTGTCTTTTGAGTTTTATCCGCTAAACATTTGACCATTTTCAAGTTTTTAACTACAATTTGGTTTTACATATACGTGTCGGAGATTGTGTGTTTGTTTCTGTTTAATTGCCAACTAAAGAAGAGCCCAAATTAACTGAAAGACATTTGGAGAATCGAGTTTCTGTGTATATATTCATGTCTTTCTATGTTAGTTCGGTTTAATTTCTATATCTAGGCATATTCGTATATGTATAAACTTTACAGATATTTATTTTCGACCTTCCAGGCGCGACTAATAACTAAGTGATTACCAACAACTCTGCTCATCAGACCCAGTATAGTAATATTGTTTGCTAGAAAACTATATAATGACCATAAAAATCAGAGCATAGGTAAAAATGCTATATACACATACAAAATCGTACAAAACGTAACAATAGATTTATATATATATATATTATATTTGTAGAGAGTTTCATTATTTATTATTCGGTTTCGGTTTCGGTTTAGGTTTAGAAAAATGTACAATTATTTTTATTTTGTTTTGGTATTTTGGTTTTCGGCTTGCAATAATTGGTTTAGTATGTATAATTTGTTTACTTAGGCTAGATGCATTTTACTAGATTTTTCTGCTTGGGTTTTCTTTTCGTTAAGAAGGTACAGAGAGACTGACTGACAGAGCGACGAGATCTATTTGGGTGTGTAGAGGGGGAATATGTATTTCGGAAAAATCATGACACCTATATGTTCATGTGTTCAATTATAACTTAGTCCTATACCTAGTCTATGTACAATTTATTGTGAAGCAGGCAGTGCCACGCCCACACTTTGCTTACGCCCTAATTTAGTATTTATTACGCTATTCATTCTTTCAGTTTTGCGCCCTCAAACTGCTAAAAAATTAAACTAAACATTTCATTTATGCCCCGCCCTTAGGTGGAACTAAAGTATTTAATTTTCCTCCTAATATTAATTTATTTAAATGTTTTACTTAAGTATTTTTTTAAGTGTATGCTTTCCCACTCACAAGTATTTGCATTGAAATTGAATGCAAAAAAAATTAAATGTTTACCATATAATTTAATATCTTAGTTTATTACATACTTGATATGTGGTTTCGTGTAAATTAATAGAATAATTAAAGTTTCACAGGAAAAGAAATTAAGTTTTTGTTGGTCCAGTTGGAGATGAGTTAACAAAGTCTGCTGTTTGTATTGATTTGGTACAGAGAATAATTGAGTTTTACAGAAAATTGGTGTGGGTTTGTTGTGCAATTTATAGTTAAGTATATTCTTGTTTGGCAGTCTGTAGATTGTCACCAAAATGAAACGTAATTCGATTTGATTACCGGGGGGAATAGGGGAAATTATTTCTTAGACCGAATAATCAGACATTAAAATATCAATATATCTTAAAGTTACATATTTAAAGCTTATTCAAATCGTACATATCTATGCTGTAATTTAGTCAAATTTGCTACATAAGTTTATTCACTATACATATGAAGCAGGAGTTCAATCGATTTTGCGTACGACTTTGGGGACTTCCCGGGCATCTCTGGTACAACCTCAGTGTTCTTGGGTCCAGTGCTCAATTAGCTGGATGTACAATTGTAGGGGTCGTCGGTGCGGAAATTTGGATGATCCTCGAAGGGCTTAACGCCCGCCGCCTTCTTGTCATCCCTCAGTTTTTCCACCTGCTGCATAACCCTCAGAAAATTACCGCCAGCTAGTTTCGTCAGTTCATCAATTGTCCAACCGCCTCCAAGAAGTTCAGCAAATAGAGTCGGATATGAAGATACATCCTCCAGTCCTTTGGGGGTACTAAAAATCAGATTTCGGGTAACAAAAAATATTAGATTTTTTTCTCAGGTCATAAATTATTTGAATAATGTTTTCTGCCCTCTTCACAACACATATTTCGAAAAATCTCTACGCACAATTTAATTTAATTTTGCTCTACCTACATGTGAAATAAATTGAATAAGCAAACCAAAGGCAGAGCCAATGGCAAAACGAATCGTGTGCAGGACATTCTGGGCGTAATAAAGTCGCATCGAGTCAAGCAACACAGAAAAACAAATAAATAATGAATGGCACACAAAGGAAAATAAATAATAAATATACATTTTGCTGGCCGAACGCTCAAGTGCTCGGTAATCATATTTTATGAACAGGCATTTGTACAAATAAATAATAATTTAGTTTTATATGCAGGCGTTTAGGCCAAACACGCTTTAAATGACACAAACAGCAAAAATCCCGGTCTCTGTATGGGTAAGGATAAACTATATAGGGTGATGTGGCTTAGTTATAATTTAGTAGCTCATAAATAATGTTATAAAATATAATTATTTTATGTGTTTGTTATGCATGTTAAAAAATATCAAACAAATATTTTTAAAACTACGAGCGTATAAATAATAGGTTTAGTTTAGCAAAGAAAAAATGGTATGACATAGTTAAACAATAGTTATGAAAACCAAAATAGTTATGAGAAATATGTTTTAAATTTTCAAAGAAGTTTAAAAAGCAATCTTTTAACTTCCTATCCCTACATATTTATATTTTAACTTTAAATATTTTTTTAACACCCTGTTGAGTCATTAAAAACATTTAGAGCTTTTCCAAAATGAGAAATAACCACTTCATCGAACTTAACAATTTATGTCCTTTTCTCTTAAATTAACTTTAGCCATTTTCAATTGCTCCATTCAAATGAGGACCAATTTTCTATCGAGTGCCAACGTTAGTGCTGACAAATTAATGGCACACATTTGTGGTTTTTGGCGGCCAAAAGTTTAAATTCAATTCCCCATATTTTTACCAATTTATCAGTCCAAGTACTGAAAGACTAATTAAATAAACAAATTCCAAAAGGTTGGAAAGGTGTCATTGTGAAAAATCAACGAACCTTTCGGGTGGAATTCGGTTTTATTGGGTACATCCACCATGTGGTTAGTCACGAACCGAAAACGAGACCATTTGACATCTAGTAATTTCATAGAATTTTAGATTATTTATTGTGTCATGCTCGTGTTTGTTTCGTATTTTGGTCTCTGGAAATTGCCCCATAAATATTCATACAAACCAATTTCAGTTATTTTTTGTTTTTATTGGCCCCAAACACCTCGAAAACATTTCTGTGGTCGCGTTGCCCGAATACCAAAACAAAATGAAGTTCATTTCGGTGGAAATTGATTTACATGGACATTTTTTGTTGTTGTCCTTGTTGTTATTTTTGGATGGGGATGCAGCTCATATGCTCATTTTTGGCCATGTACTCAAAATATTTAATTCAAAAACAGCCGAGGGACATAGAAATTGGGGAGAGGGGGGAGGGGTGGACAGGTAGTTTTATCAAAATTTCAGCTTCAACATTTCGTTTGTTTTCGCATTGTGTCGACGATGCAATGAAATGGAAATCTATGCAAATGCATTCTGGCCAGCATCACGGGAATAATTACAATGATAATGAAGACGAATGACGCTGATGACGAGAGTGCAGTGAAAAGGACACACTCATTGAGGTAATGAACATTTTGGTCCTGCTAATGGGCACAGGCTTTAAATGTTTTCGGGATCAAATTGTAGCAGGCGAAATTCACGGAACGGTGAGTGATTTAATGACAGTCCATTTTAAAGACTTAAGAACTTAAAAAAAGAAGTTGTTGTAATTTTTTCTTAGTTTTCCAGGTGTTTTTTGCCACCGTAGAGTATTTCACCAGTTCAATCCTTTTACGACTACCATAACTTTCAGCCATTTCAATCCCCCTGATAATTTTTTATCGCTCAACAGCCATTTGCCCCACGAGAGCTCATTAAATTATCTTAAAAATCTCGTAAACAGATTGCACAAGTTGTTCGCGGAAAACCCCCAGAAAAAATAAAAACCCGAGAATGTGTGCCTGTAATGAGCGGTAAAATAATAACGGTCTATCCACATCCATCGCACCGCTGGCAATATGCCAATATTAAGTCCTCGGTCTTAAATATAATCAATTAATAACTTAAAAAAAAGATGGCGAGGGACTGAAAACCACCTGGAGGACATCGTGCATATCGACTACGGTGAGCGAGAGGAGAAATGTGAATTTAAGTGAAATAAATGACTTTTACTTACTAATTAATGCCGTCGTAGCCGGCGCCCAGTCCAACGTGATCGATGCCGGCGACTCGCTTAATGTGATTAATATGCGCTGTGTGTTGAGAGTGTGTGAGTGGTCAGCGGCAGGATATCCGGTGGCAGGGTTGCCATTCGTTGTCAAGTTCATTAGGGGCCATTGTTGGGGGTCCGGGGCGCCATTGTTGTTGTGTTCGCCGTCATAAGTCAGCGTTATTAAAATTTTCGCGAATTTGAAATGTGTCCAAGGCAGCCGCAAAGACAAAGGCAAGAAAAGAAAGTGAAGGAGTAGACATTAGAGGGGTTTATTACAGGACAAGCACTTGGAAAAATATGTATTCACTTTACTATTCGCGAATATCTTGAATTAGTCTAAATTTATGAGACATTCATTTCATAACACTATTGGTTTTTTAGAACTTGGAACCGTTTCTTTTAATTAGTTTTAAAAAAATAAATTATAATTAAACTGATCTACTAAAAATATGAATATTAAAATAAATATTAATTTATAATAAAGTTTATCAATCAATTCATATTCAAAACACTTGGTTTTTATGAATTTGGAACCATTTTTTTTAATTAGTTTTATAAAAATAAATTTTAATAGAACTGATCTACTAAACATATGAATATAAAATAATAAAATAAATATTAACTTATAATAAAGTGTGAAGCCAACCACTTCCTATTTAGCAATTTTATAATTTTTCCCTCTGTATCCATCAAAAAAACCAGGGAGACATCTGAGGTGGCTCAAAGAATGACAACGAATCCAGGAAGTGATTACGAGAGCCATTTTGATGGCACGTCAAAAGCAATGCCACAAAAATCAGAATAGAGAGGGGTGGAAGATAGGCAGTGCCAAAAACAGGATAAAGGGAGTGAAAAGGGCGAGAGGAGGCAATAATGAACTAACTGAAACAATAGCCTGACAATCAGGATCCCACACAACAAAGAGAAACCGCGACCAAGTCACTGGTTTTGATTGATTTCGGATGGGGCAAAGTTCCCTCGAGGGCATTGAAGGAAAAAAAAAATGACAACCAGGTTTTTCCTACCAAAACTGTCATAAAAAATTGATATGGTGTTTGGAAATTTAAGAATTTTTTTCATAGATTGGAAACAATCAAAAAATTGTTTAACAGACTATATAAAGAATTTTGAAAAGGGGTCACTTACCGACTGCATCGTGCACGGTCGAGTTGTCGCTGCAGGAAAGGAACTTCGAGTAGAAGTTGACCATGACCAGGCCGCCGTTCTTGGCCAGCGCCTGCAGGATGTCGTCCTGGACGTTCCGGCTCGTGTTGCAGAGCTCGTAGGCCGAGGAGTGTGAGAATATCACAGGTGCCTCGCTCACCTCCAGGGCGTCCCTGAAATTCAAGGAAATTCAAGTTGTCGTAGAGTAAATGTGTGGTTATGCTATGATTAAAATGGAGGTTAAGTTGTGATTAGGATTGTGTAAAGGTTGGAAACAATTCAGGTTACGGTGGTCAAGTTGTGGGGGTTAAGATAGAATAGCTGTGATTAAAAGGTAGGGCAAAGTTAGGTTTAGGCTGGGGCTAAGGAGAAGTAAGATGGGATTTAGATTTGGTTAAGGTGGGGTTAAGTTTCGGTTAAGATGGGTTTAGTTAGGGTCTGTGAGGGAAAAAGGTGGGAATTAATTAAATTTAAGGTGGGGCTAGTTGGGGTAGAGTAAAGCGATTAGTGTGATATAGTAATGGTTAAGTTGGGATTAGTTATGGCTAAGACGTGGAAAAGGATAGTTTTAGTTCCGGTTAAGGTGGGGTTAGTAAGGTTTACTGAGAGGAAAAGGTAGGAATTATTTTGGGTTAAAACGGGGTTAGTTAGGGTAGAGTGAAGGTTTTTGTGGGTTTTAGTTTGGATTAAGTTGGGGTTAGTTAGACTTATTATTTAATTTTTACCTCATCGTTCCCTTGGAGACGTGCGACAGGTCGACCATCATCCCCAGTCGATTCATTTCGCGGATGATTGTCTGAAACGTGCAGAAATAAAAGTAAGTGGATTAATCAAAGGTGAAGCACTAGTTCAATAATCAGTGATTAGTGCTAAGAGGCTGCCTCTCTCTCCCTCTATTTTAATATACTTATATGGGATTTTCCCCAAGAGCGAGGAAATGCCGATGGCATAAAAACCTAAGCGCATGTCATAAAACATAAGTAATGACCGCCAAGGCAAAGGACATCTCAAAACGATTTTCATTATGCATGGGCTTTTATTTAACCTCTGGCTGCCACTTGACCCTTAACCCGCTGCCGCTGCCCAAGTAAATTGATATTGCTGGCTGCCAGTGTAATTTGTATTTATGCGCGGATTTATGGTTATTCATTGGCTGAATTCGTGGTCGTGTGTGTTTGTGGGCCCAACATAATTACTAATCTGATGCAAGTTTGCCCCCGCCCATGCACCACTTGCCCCAAGGAAACGCACAAATTATGTGGGCAAAATTTATTACACTGCTAGCCGTTAAACTAGGGAAGTCTGATTAAACATTTCAATGAAGGAAGAATTAACCCAAATGGAAGCTTTTGTTTTCTCCTTAACTTGGAGTAGAATTGCAGATTTATTTGAAAGACTAGAACTATGTACTGTATTCAGTTTGTGCAGTTGTAAAAATATCAAAATTTGTAGTTTTTAATAGTTATTTTAAAAGTTTTAGTTAATTTATAGGAGGTTACTGCTCCCAAAAATTGAGGTTTAAATAACAAAACAATTTTCAAAATATGAAATTATAAACTTAATTATAATAAAATAATAGGTAAGGTATTTAAGTACATTTTAGTTAAATATTATAATTTAAGACCCAGTTCCAATTTCACAAAATAGGCACATCCTTAAAAATCCTTGCTCCTTTTAATACTCAATTTCCCGGCCAATTTGCAGTGTATTTTATGTCCGATGCCGCCTCGCCGATAATTTTTAATTGCAGGCATATATACACAACATATCAGCATCCTGATAAGCATATATATAACCCCCCCCCCATTTACGCATATATTTATATAACAACCGTATAGCGATGTCAATTGGAGGCGGCGGCATTTCGGTGCCTTTCAAATTAGCCAGCAATTTGTTGCTGTTTGGCGAGTGTATGTGTGTGCAATTGGGCGGAGTGTGTACTTAATGGGCGTGGCATTAAGGGCGAACCCAAACACACACACGCGTCGAAACTAATTGCAAGTGTGTGCGTAGGAGAAAATGTGTATTAAATGCTTATTGTCGCTTAATTACGCACACAAAATGGCAAATAGAAAAGGGATAAGGGGGCGTGGCAGGATTCGATTTTGAGTGCTAGTAGGGCATTAAATCTTAATTAACGGTGGCATGGGCACAAATTGGTTCTATGCACTTGTGTCTGTGTGTGGCCAAAAGAGAGAGAGGTTAGTATATTAAAATTACCAAATTATTTGGTGATTAATTACTTAGCCGGGCAACCGGAAACAAATAATTTGTCAGGCAATATTTACCGATGTATATAAGTACATATTTATTGATATTTATGCCGCTTATTTGCATGAAACCCAACACCAGCAATCATTTGCCAGTTATAAAATATACATAATTATAATCAATTCAATTGAAATATGCTTTTTCTCTCCGGGTTTTGTGGCCGAATCTCCATTTGATGCCGTCCAGTCGCATTTAATTGCATTTTTAATTGGAGGTTTTCGGTTTGTTTGTGGGCAAATAGAATGAAGGCAATGCCCAAAGATTTGCCACCAATATTACAATTCTCCCACGGCAAACAGACATTTTAATATTTTCATTTGCAAATAATTATGTGGAATTTCTCGTCTTGTGCTTTCACTTTGACGGTTTTTAGCCTGGGGCCGGTTGTCCTGGAAAAGGACATTCGAACAAAGCCTGACGGACAGTATTCAACAATGAAAATGAGGCCACTTTTTGTAAGTCAATTTCTATGGATACTTTTCACATTTACTCATTAATGTCAGCGGGACTTCAGTCGTGGCTATTTTATTTGTTATATTTTGGACATGTTTTCACAACAATGCCGAGTTCCTGACGGTTTGACACAAACAGAAAAATTGTTTCCATTGTTATTAATTTTGCATCAATTGCCTTTATGGTTTAAATCATTTTGTATAGATTAGCCCCCGAGCTTTTGTGGAATTTCTATTTTTTGACCCGCCATCAATTAAATTGAAATTGTTCGCATCGATCTGGAATTTGTTCTACGAAAATATTTAACATGCAATTTATGAAATTTGGTTACCAAGGCCAAACATAAAAATTGCATTCCGCGTTGCACAGAGATTTAGCATCTGCAGGGGCAATTAGTTTGAGCAAGCCGCGTTTAAATTGAATTTATTTTCAAATTAATTTAAAATTTTCGCTCAAATCTGGTCAACAACAGGGGAAAAGCTGCTGAAAAACTCGGCTTGAAATAATCGCTGTGAAGCGTAAATAAATAAACTCGACACGGAATAAATCCCAGCAAGTTGTTGGCCCTTTTCACAGGAGCATTAGGGTACAATGCAGAAAACTCATTAAAACTTTAAATTGAAATAAAATAAATGCATATCCGCAAAACTTATATGAATAAACTGAGATATGCATGTGTTTGCATTTGTTTTTCTGCATTTTTAAGGGGGGCATTTGGGAAAGAAGAACCTAAGATTCTTGTGGTTATAATTCTCGTATTTTTAGAAAATTTTCCAAAGATCTAATTTAAATGAAGAAAGTTTTGATCAACCAAAAAATACTTTTTTTTATGTTTGCCTAGGGAAATTGCACTTTTATGTATTTTCGCTTTCAACGGCATTATGCGGATTTTCCTGACCCAGTTATCAATTATCAATTATCGCTTATGCATGGCAAATAGAAGAAAATACCAATTTGTAATTCCATTAGCCCGGGAACCATAACATTTGATTTATATGTTTGAATGCGTAAATGTGTGCAAATGCATTCAGGACCAACGGGGAGCCGGGAAAATGGGTTGGGTATTGGAAAGGCCGCCATCGTCTTGGGTTCTCCGGGTTGTTTAAATATTTGAAAATCCATTAAGCATATTGACAATGCCGATGTGTCTGTCTGTGTTGGCATTTACTTGGGCATGGGTTTATTTGTGTGTGGGAGTCTGCATCCCGGCTCTTATTTAAATATGCCCGCCTTAGGGTTTTCCTTTTCCCTTTTTCCTTTCCGATTTTTCTTTTCTCCCCACTCTGATTTGGCTCCCGATGAATGGATCATTAGTGCAGCTAATGGCGCAGACAATAAATGGCGCGGCCACGCCTACAATTTGAATTTGAATATGAATTGAAATGTCAGGAGGTACATGGAGGAATATAAAGTTATCTATACTTATGTGATTGATTTTATAATCAAATCTTTAAGACTTTGTTTAAGATATAAGAAAATATACTTGAGTATTTATCTATGATATTGTATGTCTAATACGAACGATATCTTTTGATAGGATAGGTATTATAAGTACCTTAAAATTCCTTTCTTTTATACTTTAACCTAAGAGGTGAATGTGGCTTATGAATTCCATAACTGTCGTAGCTTTTTACATAAATTTTATTTAAATATTCCTTTCATAAATTTACATTATGGGGATATTTTTCACAGTGTCTCGGCTGAGTGTAGGCAAATGAGGATGGGGAAATGGAGGCCCTGTCTGAGGGGCTTACCACAAACAGACGCCGCTGGCATTTCCGTCCAAGCGATTGGAGTCGTCGAATGAAGGCGGCGCCAGGACCAAGACATAAAACGGATTTATTAGGTCATTGCTGGCTGTGGTTGTCAGGGGTCGGAAAATTCGAGGGGTAACCGGAGAAGGGCTGGAAAGCGGAAAATGGAAGGGATGGGAAAGCCAAACCTTGGGAAATGAAGTGTGGACTTGCCGCTGTTTTCGGGGCGTGGATTCTCATTATTTTGGCTAATAATTTTTGAAAAATGCCAAACAACTTTGTGCTGACACTGAACTTGTTATTTGCAAATTGAAAAAGAAAACACCATAACCATTAAAAGTTGATACTGATATGTGGAAATGGCCTCTGTAAGATATACATTTATTAAAGGCATTTTTAAATAAATGTATTGAAAGGAAATATATTTAAGGTAAATATAAGGTATTTAGAGGTTGGACCTTTTATTATTTTTTTAATATATGATTTTATGTCAACAGTTACTTGGTTAAGCTTGGTTAGTTATTAAAAATCAAATGAAACTAAGGAAATGCTAAGCTAATTGCCAACCGGAAATTGTAAGACACGGAAACCCTTGCCTAAAATCGAATGATAAATCTTATCTGCCAACTCCTTGTCCCTAAATCCTTGATGCCCGAAGGAATATTGGCCATGATTAACAATCAAATGCCAAGCTGCAGCGAAGCACACTGTTTACCCAAAGCTCAATTGCAGGTCATACAGCCAAGCTCGCTTCGGGTTACTTAGATCCCTACTTATGAGCTCCTCTGGATAAATCCCTGCCCCACATTCCCCTCACTTTTCACGTTTTTCACCCAGCCTGAAATAGTGGAAAAATGCTCGCCTCTTTCGTCAGTTGCGTTTTGTTCGCATTTCCCCCCCCCCGTCTGGCTGTCTATCTTTCTGTCTGAGTCTATAATTGAGGCGCTTACTTTGGCGGCAAGGAGCGGGGAAAATGGTAGCGGGCAATCAAAGAGCGTGGCAAGTGATGGGGAAAACTGCAACTGGAAAAACAGCCCGGGCAGGGAAAATGAGATATAGAAGATGCGATGAGCCAAAGCAAACACCATGGCAGTGAAAATATGCGAAGAGCGTAATGAAAATGTTGCAATAAATTGCTTGGCAACCAAGGTAGAAATTAATTGGATAAATATTTTGGCAAGAGAAAGTTAATTACAAGTTCGGCAGAGGTTTTAAATGAGTTTTCCCTTTCAGTTGCAGTTTACATGCCACGATTATATTTCCAAGCCTATCTTAAATGCTTAATAAAACGTTTTAAAAAAATCCCTATGCAAATGTA